AGGGGGCTTCTCCAACTGATGGGACACAGCTGGTGCCATGAAGGGCAACATCTCCGGCTTCTCAAATTGTTGAACCATTCACCTGCCCGCAAGCAGCTAGCTGACCCTGTCGTGCAGTGCTTCGAGGAGAGTGCTGACTGTCATACAGGTGGCAGCCCCTCCGAGAGCAGGTCAGTGTGTTGCTCAACCTGTTAGTTACCTCCCACACAAACAGGCAGGAGAGATTGGGATGGTGTCCTGAGGCAGAAGGACTCTGCCTTTGGGTGTCAAGCCAAAAAGAGGCTCCGTGCAGTGAGTCTGAAGTGGGGAAGGGGCAGCTGTGCTCTCTCATGGGGTGCTGGCTGCAGGAGAGCTGGAGCCCAGGTAGATCAGGACCATCTCCAATCCCACCCACTTTGTTAGAACATTGTGCTCCTTGACCCGGAGCACTGACCCATCACTTTTCCCAGGTCTGCTATGGCTTGGGCTGCCAGGGAGCAGGCAGGGACAGATCTGCTAATTACAAGTCAACGTTCTGCGAGATGTGTGTTTCAGGAGCCCGTAGGCCTGTTCACCTGTCCCTGCTCGCACAGCTCTGTTCCTCTGAGCGGGGCTGGGGCAGCAGAGATGGGACTTGCCGGTGAGTCAGCGCCCCTTTGGTGTGATCACCTTGCTTTCTTGCAAGGAACGCTTTGATCCTGCCACCAAAGAGCAAGCAAAATTATTTTCTGCAAGGATATTTCTGAGCTCAGTCTGTATACGTTCTCCAGCAGCGCAGTTTCAGGATTCAGTGGCAGTTTGGCTGGGATTGATGCCCTGTGACTTGATCCAATATGAATAGCATCTCCTTACCCTACAGAAACTGGTTTTAGGGCCCAGTCATCACAGAACCAAAGAATCGTAGAATGGTTTGGGTTGAAAGACACTTTTAAAGGTCATGTAGTACAACCCCGCTGCAGTGAGCAGGGACATCTTTAACTAGGTGAGGTTGCTCAGAGCCCCATCCATCCTAGACTTGAATGTTTCCAGGGATGGGGCATCTACCAGCTCTCTGGGCAACCTGTGCCAACGGGTCACCATCCTCAGCATAAAAAAATCCTTACATATCTAATCTAAATCTACCCTCTTTTAGGACCCCTTGTCCTATCCCTACATGCCCTTGTATAAATACCCCCCATCTCTGCTGTAGCCCCCTTCAAGTACTGGGAGGCTGCTCTAAGGTCTCCCCAGAGCCTTCTCTTCTCCAGGCTGAACAATCCCAACTCTCTCAGCCTGTCCTCACAGGGGAGGTGTTCCATGCCTCTGGTAATTTTTGTGGCCTCCTCTGGACTTGCTTCATGCTGGGGACCCCAGAGCTGGACACAGGACCTCAGATGAGGTCTCACTAGAGCAGAGTAGAGAGGAAGAATCACCTCCCTTGATCTGCAGCCCAAAGTATTGTTAAGGAACAAATCACAGAGTTGTTTTGCTCTGCTTTAGTCGTATCATCATAGAATGGCCTAGGCTGGAAGGCACCTTAGAGATCATTTAATCCAGCCTCCCTGCTGCCAGGGACGCCACCTCTCAACTAGATCAGGCAACACATGGGGACCAAACGGGAATCGAACCCGCCACCTTAGCATTGTTAGCGCCATGCTCAACTGACTGAGCTAACCGGCCTCTCATAAATCTGCCCCAGGTGGCAGAGCATGGCTGAACTCTGTGCCTCACAGTCTCTGGGCGCTGTTCTCCTACCTCTGGGACTCCGTGGTCTGGACACTGATTGCACTTGCTTTGCAGGAGGTGTACGTGGGCAAGGAGACCATGTGCACGGTGGATGGGCTTCACTTCAACAGCACGTACAGCGCACGTGTCAAAGCCTTCAACAAAACAGGAGTCAGCCCCTACAGCAAGACTCTGGTCCTCCAGACGTCCGAGGGTAAGGCGTTGCGACAGCTCCAGCCCAACGCGCTCGGATGCGGCTGACACACACGCCTGGGGCCCGTCCAGCACACC